CCTCAAACTCACGAGATTACACATTAACTCAAAACACTGAGGAAGGCGGATTTACACTAAGATGCCTGATTGCACACTGGGATGTAAGCAATGGCATTGTGTCAACTCTGCTATGTAGACAATATCACATTTCTTCAGATGCTTGCTCAGTGGATGAGTCAGATTGCTTACAGTGACAGTGAAGTTGCTGCATTAAAAAGGACTTTGTATTAAAAAGGCTGAGGTACATACATGTTTTGTTGGATGCTTTGTGAAAGGAAAGAAGAAACCTCCAGCATAGTAACAAAATAGACAGTGGTTTCAGAGTGTGGTTTCATAACTTAGTAAGATCTAAGACAGGATTACTCATGAAAAGACAATGGTCTCTTCCTCCCTCCAATCCCAGCTGCTTCTGTTGCATCAACACTGGCAAAGATGCAGCCTGTCAGGTCAGTGCTCTGATCTGGCTGCAAACTAACACTACTGAAATAAATAGTCTTCAGTAATACCTGTTAATTGATCCTACTCACTTCAGGGTTGCATAATTACTAATGCCAACACAAGAAAGAGGCTGGCTGTAAGCAGGGTAGGGCTGGATGAGACTACACCTACTTTTGGCAGCAGCAGTCTTAATCCCAACCCTTTATAAAACCTTTAAGAAATCTTGTAGTAGCCGTAGCAAGTTTCCGTAGAATTCTTGGTTAGCTACTGTATCCTCTAATTCTATACAGATTACATACCAAATCAAATTAATACATTGTGGCCTTGGTTTATCGAAGTATTTAGGAACGTGTTTATTATAATGGCATTACCATATATTTATTATTCATTTAAGTGCTACACTGAAGAAGAAAATTTTGCAGAGTAAGTGCTGATTTACTTGTAAGACATACAATTATCCCACTGCCATTAAAGAGACTGTTTATGGTAGATAGATAAAGTTAAGAATTTAACACAGCCTCTCAGGATCAGTACACTGAATTTACAGTGCTTCCTTTATTAACTAAGATGACAGGAATAATACTTTTTTTTTTCTTCGGTATTTTTCTCATTATCTGTGTCTCAAGAAACATACCTGATAGACTGCCACTGATAAGGGGTCATAAAAACACCTCTAAACACCATATAACAAAACTTAAAGTTAAAAAAAAAAAAAAAAACAAACCACAATACAAAAACAAACCAAAACCCAAAAAAAACCCCCAACAAAACCAGCAAACCAACAGTAGAATCTCTAAGCCTAACATGCCACCGCAGGAGAGCAGTAGAGGTCAAGACTATCACCAACACTCAACATGCCAGCAACAGCAGGAAATCTGTTAAATAAACAATTCTCATGCAATATTGATTTGACTGCAGGTGAGGAAAGGAAGAAGTCCTTCCTGACTAAATCTGGTTATCTATATCTATTCATCCAGACAGAACGAAGACATTTCCAGAAAGCACCAGAGAAATCCCCGTGCCTCATTCATTCCACCCTGTATCCTGTTTCTAGCACTTGCCAGTCTCCATTTCCTCACAAAACAGTAACATTAAAATGCAATACAAATCCAGGAAAGAAATTATGTTTCAAGGTGGAAAGAAAATTTCCTTCCTGGTTATTTTTTTTTCCTTACAGTAACCTGCAGGCAACTGGTAACTTTGAAGCTCATATTAATGTATGAAAAAGATTGTGCAAACAAACTGGGATCCAATCTCCTTTTAAATCCCACCTGAGACAGCACCATACTGCTTTGTTTCACCAATTTAATACTGTGTCTTCAAGAGTTCTGCACAGTCATACACTCTTGCAGGAGCTCATCAATCAATATATTACAACAATTTAGGGTACAAGGCAAGACTTCCTAAATTCACTTCGCTCCTCAGTTAGAAACCACCTAATGTGCAACCTAAATGTATTTCTAATTCCCAATATATGCATTGTGATGATACTAACTCTTTCTTACTAACTACGCACAATGATGTCCTGATTTCATTCAAGACTTTTCACTTGAATTTTCTAAATGTTTTGGCCAGTTACTTGACATTAGAAGTCAATACTACAGGAATTTCTGAAAAAGTTGTTTAATTAGCACTGTATTAGCCTCAGAGCCAAAAAGTATTTTTGTTCCTTGCTCATACAAAAAGTAATTTTGATAAAACAGATAAAATTAGGAACCGTTTCCACAGAACAGACAATATGTAACAATAACATATGAGCTGTTTACAAGAAAGTGGGGTAATTAAGAGGATTTCCTCCTGTGTTATAGGATGCTATAATGGGTATCTTCTAAGAATATTCATTAGCCTAAGCAAAGAAAAAAATTCATCCTTTCCAATGCCCTTAATATTAATTTGCTGAAGACAGTGTTGGGATTTGTGTTTCCATCAAAAGTCTCTTTCCTTATAAAGAAATACTAAGTAAAAAAAGAACTGCACCTAACAATTCTCATAAGGTACTCATTGCTGAAGTAAGCACACTGTACTAACTCTAGATTTTTAGATTCATCAAACTGTGCAAAATAGGTTATGAAGCAAAGGCTGTAGCACCTTCTGAATTACTTGACCTCTACGTACTTCATCTGTGTTTGCCAACAGAATCACAACTGTAATTTTTGCAGTTTTAACCATTCACAGATGGTACTCGTAAGTATTTTTGTGTCCTAACCAAAAACGGTTGATGATTCAAGTGGCAGAACCAGTCACATCACTGCCTGAATTAAAGAAGAAAGAAAGAAAGGAAGAGGCAGAATGCCACAAGCTAATTTAGAATATATTTTTCTGTAAAATAAGAAGTGTTTTAATGTTATTTATAGTGTTATTTAAATAGGATGAAATTAACAAATGCAACTGTTTTTTAAAAATCTACAGAATACTTGAACTACACATTTTGTAACATTATAAACTGAAAAGGTGAAGCTCTGTTTTAGTCTCTCTAGATGCAAATCAAGCAGATTTGCAATGTTTTCAATAATTCGTTCTATATACTACAAGAAAGAAAATGCTTGTTTTTTCTAAGCTTTAGAAAGAGCAAAGGCTGGAAGAGGAGATCCTGTAGTCATTCATACTCTCAAAAGAGGTTCATTATTTTAATTATTAGGCTGCCAAACTTAGGAGAGCTAAAAGGATAAGCAATATTCACTGGGGAAAGTGAAAATGAAGAACAGGTACTACAGCAAAGGAAAGGAAGCAAAGATAGCAATTGTGGAAAACAATTATATCTTCTTTTATGCACTGAATAATTTAAACTCTAAAATATTCATGAATTTAGACTGGAAGAGTGTCCCATAATTGCAGGTTTTCTGCTACTCTGACAGACCGTCATTATTGTAACGTACATTCTTTCATCCACTTTCTGCATAACTGACATATTCAAAGAAGACTGAAGATAATGATTACCATGGTTACTTATTAGCTCACCTACACTATCCACCAAGCTCGTTTTTTCCTTTCTCCCCTTTATTTCTTGGTAGCTTAGATTAGTTAGGTTTTTTTTCCTACAGTATTTCCCACAATAGTATGCTTACTCCTCTGTCCCTCTCAACTTCCTCGCCTTCTTTCTTTGTTCCTGTTGCCCCACAAAGCTTCAAGAGGCAGCGGCAGCAGCAGGTTTAAGTGGGCCTGTTTGGAGGTGCAAGGCAAACACCATGAAAAAGAAGCCACTGGCTTTTTCTTTGGCCCTTTCTCTTCAATCACTGTCTTTCAATCAGTACTTTCCTGCTGGAAAGGAAGCAGAACCGTTATGCTCTCAGCCACAGCCATGTGCATCAACACTCATTATCTATCTATCCAATCAATAAGAAACCTTTGGTATCAGTGCATTCTATAAAAATCAGTGTTTTCTCTAGCCCTAACTTAGAGCTAAGTAAAGGTTTTTTTAAAATAAACTGTCAGTTACTGAATTCAATAATGAATATGGGCTTTTTGCTATTTTAAACATTATTAAGATCCAAGTTTAAAAACAAACAAACAAAACCCAGCATTTAAATTCTGAGAAAGGCATGATCTCATGTAGGAAGGGGGAAAAACAGCAGTCTTGCCACAACACCCAGGAAGAAATCTCTGAATCACCAGACAGTCCAGAGATGTCTGGAGTAAAAGCCAAGGCAGAGCGCTGTAAAAGGAAAGAAGGAATTTTGTCTACTACAAATACAGTTTGTTTCTGCCTGATTAAGAAGTTGGAGTTTGAGTCTTGAACTGCCAAGAGCCTGGTATGTTAACATACACCAGTTAAACTGTTCTGTACAGGGCTGGCAGCTGACCTCAAGAGGTCTCTTCCTTCTCCTCCTTAACACAGGCCAGCTAGAACGAATAAGACAACTTCCATGTCTCAGCAGTATTACTGCCACAGCCTAACAAATACTGCTTTAGATGAATATGGTATAGTACCATTTGTCAGCTTTAAATGACGCTCCACATATCCTCAGACTATTGCTATTTTACAAACTAATGCTTGTGCATTATATCAATTTAATGCACAATCTAATAACAATCATTTAAGGAGACATAACGTAATTTGAAAAGCATACATCTGGAAAGCAGAGTCAAATCTAATTTAAAGTATGAGGGGAGAAGGGAATTCTAGAGAAAGGCAGCTGAGAAAAGCACTATTGAAAATGAGATAGTAATACATGTCTAAAACTAAAGGTTTGCGGGGTTTTATTTTTAACAGTGTCATATTTAATGACATTTATTTCATTATATTTATTTCAATAGTGACATTTTGAAGCATTTTATGCAATATTTACAGGACAACTTCAGAGTATTTCATTAATTCAATACTAAATGCTACTATGAAAAGAGTACTTAATCACTGATTTTTCTTCATACTACAGTTTCAATCAAGCTATTACCATCGTTATTTTAATAGTCTCAGGTAAATTCTAAACTTAGCTTTTAGAAATTTTTTTAAGAGGGAAAACAATACCTAATTTAATGTACAAAAATTCTTCCTGACATACAACATTACACCACAAATGCTGGTGAACTGAATCTGCCCAGTACTTCTGCATTTTCTGTCCCCCAACCAGCAAGTGACTGACCTTCCTTGAGACTTTTCTGGCTGTTCACCTCAAGGCATTCCTTCTCCTTCAGCGGCTTAACATCTCCTGCAGGTAAAATCTCAGAAAAGCCCTGTTGCTGCTTCTTGGAGCTATCGATCATGATGAGAATCCTTTAGAATGGCAACCCCAGCATAGGAAAAAAAAAATATTAATCTGTCAAGCAGTACACTGCTGTCCCGAACACTGCTTCCAGGTCCTTTCTCCTAATAAATGAGCAATTGCGCCTTCGTGCAGCCAAAAGCAGCCATCATCCTTCACTTTCTAGGTTGACCTGCAGTACACTCAGCCTGCTTTGGAGCCTGTAACTCACTCAGACAGCAGGCACAGAGCATATGAAGCAGAACTCCCACATCCCACCTCTTTTCCTAGATAACCACTCCCCCTTTTCCTTTAGTTACGCTTGCTTCCTCCGCACATTCGTGTTTCAATATGCAGCTTGATGGTCAATCATCTGACAAAGAATGAGTCAAGCAGTTAAAAATAAATCCAGCAGTTGCTGAAGGAGCAGCATTCGCTGATACCCAACACAAACTACTGCTGAGGACTCTCTCCCTTTTCCCCTTCCTTCTCCCTTCCCCCACTACTCTGAACACTGCTGCAGGCGGCAGAAATACTTTATCTTTGCCTGACTGGCACATTCATTACTCATTAAGTTTCACCAGTAAACAAAGCTGCACATTGGCATTTGAAAAAGTTATGTTGAGGAACCTTCCCAGCCCCAGGTCTTGTCTCAAGAGACATTTACCTAGCAGAATAAGTGGGAAAACCATTGATTATTTCCAGGTCTTTCCTTGCAGTATAAAAGAGATTCTGTTCCTTGTTGTAAATATCTAAAACCCAAGTATTTTACTATTCTTTTTGCATTAGTTACACATCTCATTATTCCCAGCAGTTTTAGGAGCGTTTCCTCCCACAGCTTCTGATCTGCCATTCTCTCCAGCATATCCCATTTATCTTACATGAGTCATCAACTTCAGTGTCAACCTGGAAGGTTTTGGGGAAAGGGATCCCCTCTAATTATCTGGCACTGGCCATGAGGGAACAGCAGACTAGTTTGCATTTCATGTACTTAGAGAAAATAAACTATACATAATTTTAAGTAGTCACTACATGTCAACAAGTAACTCCAGCAGGTGTATTTTCCCTTCCCTTTGGCCTAAAAATGCTATCATTATACATATTTTCCACACCTCTACTTTATATTTTAAATCCTTCAGCCTGAAATTTAAAGGATATCTCCACTCATCTAACTGTTTCATTTTTATGGCACCAGATTTGAAAAGCTCTATATACAATAACAAACACCTGATGCAGAATTTTTAAAAGTGGAAACTAAAAAAAGAATCATCTTGCCTCTTCGGATCTTTCTACAAGACAATCATTCAACACCGACTCTTCACCTTAACAGTGTGCTCCCAGGGCAAGCAATTGATACCATGGAGTGTGGGGCTGCGTGACACAGCCAGCAGGACTTGAAAGCCTCTCCCTATCTTCCTACTGCTGGGAGAAGGGAGACCTAGATCTACTCAGAACTGCAGATTCAAAGGAGACGTGAGCTTACTAGGCTGTATCAACTTCTTGATATCTAAGGAGCTGAAAATACCGGCAAAAGAAAAACTCTTGCAGCATAAATGATTTGAGGCAGCTCTCCCAGCCTAAAGATCTGTTGTTTGCACATCATTTGTATAAAAATTATCAGCTTTAATTAGATTTTGCTTAAATACAAATTATAGACTATCCAACACATCTGCTTTTGCAGTGATTTTTACTGAATGCAAGGAAAAAAAAATACCGTGGAAGAACTCATAAATCAAATGAACTTCCTCACTGCCTGCAGCCGGAACATTTACTATGCATAAGAAACAAAATTACTGTTGAGAAATGCCACACATTCGGGGGGGGGGGGGGGGGGATCCAGACAGAATACAAACACATACTGCCTAAAACACATACTGCCTAAGAAACCTGTATGAAAATCTGACACAGTCAATAAACAGAATCTTACACAGTTATGGATATTCCAGATTATAACTCTGCCTATGGATAGATTAATTGTATTCTAACAGTATAACAATATGTGACAGCAGAAATTGTTTTATGGTAAGGGTACAGTGCACTTCACACATCTTCTGAAAAATTGCTACTTTGGTCTGAAGCAATTTCAAAATGATTCAGAGAACAGAGTATTTTGAAATTAAAAAAATCAACGTACTAATAAGGAAGTCTGTAATTAAAGAACCCAAAGAGTAATACATTTTTCTTCAAATGTCATAGTTCTGAAGGTAGTTCTATCCATTCCTATCTGTTTGTAGTGCTTAATATAAATTAAGAATGTCCAGCGCTCAAGTGAATGCCGGATCACAGTAATAGCAGTTGGGTAACAGCAGTTCAAGCCTTCGTGAGTGTTTCTCACCTGTTCAGAAAGATGAGCTTCAGTACCATGGAGTTCCTGCTATCCACTCCTCCCCTTTTTCAAGGGTACCCACTCCACAGCAGAATTTACAGAACCGAATATGCTTATGCTTCAGCCACTTGGGGTTAAGCCTAATATTTTGCTTCAAATTCACCTCCTAGTTCACAAGCTAACATACAGATTAATATTTTTAAACACCTTTAAGAAGTCTGATCAAAATCTCAACAGTAATTTGCAAATAACTTTATGAAGAAAAGCAGGAATCACAGAATTTATGGAAAGTAAGTGATTAAATTCTTGTGCAGACTAGGAGAGATGAATGGTCAAAATGATGCTGCGTATTTTCCATGTAACCAAATATTGTAGTTGCCAAGAAATGCTATACAATATTGAATAGTTGGGGTGGGGTCAGACATAACAACTGAAGAGGAAGAAAAGATACCTTGGAAGAAGAAAATAGTTTTAGTTCAGATTCAGTTATACTGTGAATATTGAGAACGTCTGGACATTCCGCCCAGGGAACAGTTTCTCTTAAATCCCTGCACAAAAAACGACATTTATCCCCCAATCATGAAAAAGCCTCATATTCCAACAACATCGTTTTCCCAGCAGCCTTGTATGTACATTAATCCAAGCTCAACTAATAATTTGGATATACCGGTTACTTGAGTGATCAACAATATAGTTCGACTATTTTTAGTGATAAGGCTTCAGAGAAGAAGCAATCACCATGTCTCAAAATGTCTATTAGAAAAGTTGAAAATTCTGAGACAGATTCACAGGCACCTGGAGGCATCTCAACTGCCAGCTCAGTAGCTGTAGTTGCAGCACTGTAACATGGGAAAAGAGCATGTTTTTATGAGCTACTTTCTCACATTCCTAAAAACTGTACCAGAAGGAACAGAAACACTGTTAGCTGGTTAGCACATTCAAGTACTAAATTCATCTGCTAGCTAACAATACAGTTGTTCAAAGGTGTCTTCCAGTCATGAGCAGGTCCCATGTGAATCAAGGCAAAGTGCCTCCTCATGATCCCCGGAGAGCCAATCCACCTGCCATTTACGAGCTGCTTTTTCCCTGCTAAATGAAATAAATTTCTAACTCTCCTAGAACAGTTCACATATGTTCTTACCTTTGGCTGCTAAAGCACTGTACCTACTTCTCAGATTTACTTACGCACTTTCAAATCTGATAGTAATTTTTTAAGCTCTTACAAAATAGCAGAAGCCCTGTCATCATCCACCAACACCATGTTGATACTTTAAACATACTTCCTATGTTTGGATAGTATTTGTCTTGAAGGTCATTGTTTTGACATATAAAAACTGCTTTGTACAGCAGTTGCTTTCATTGTTGGTTTTAAAGGATGCTAATTCCACATCTATCTTAAAAGAACTGGTGGAAGACTTCAATGGTGGGAACTTAATACTTTCCCATCCAAATTACCCATTTTGTCCTATAACAAAAAATCCTTTAAATAAGTATTAGTGAAACAATAGCAAATTGTTTGTTCTTTGACTACTCTTTAAAGCCTTTTCTTTATTTTAGCACTTATACAATAAATAGAACACAACCCATGAAATACAAAATATATACAAAAAAAGCTTGGGGTCTTCCAACTCCATTCAGTTTGAAATGCTTTTGTGTTCAGTTTCTAAAAGGCAGCTGGAATTTGGATTGTCGTTTCAAATTGATGGCATTATTAAAAAACAGGCCAAAAAACTTTTTCAAATTGCTAAATTTTCATCTCATCTTTCTGCTGCTGACTGTGTACTTAAATACAGAAGGTTTCGTAATAAAGGGGAGAGAATGACTCATTTCCAAAGTATATATCAGATGTATAACCTCTCTGATTTGAACACGTACCTGTTTCCAAAGAGCTATTTTTAACAGTACAAATAGCTAAATGACACTGAGGATCACACGGAAACCTGTAATAAGCTAGAAACAAAATTGTGGCTGAAGCACTCGTTTCTATCAAACAACAAAACGTAAGTATCTTTCAGCTAGAAGAAAATCTTAAGCAGTGCATGTTGCATCTGTCAATTACTGGTTTAAGCCCAATTACAAAGAGCATCAGTGTATCAAAACCATAAGTTGGAGTAAAAGAGACACAACAAGCTTTTTGTTTCAATAAAAATTAAATCTGTTGGAATTTGTATCATCTTCAGAGGGTAGAAGTACCTCTCATTTTAATTTCAATTTAAGTTGTATATATTGTACACAAGCGGGTGAAATGAAGAAAAAAGGCTTCAGAATGGAACATCCTTATCAGTTCCATAAAGCAAAATCCAGTAACATCTCATTTAATAGCAAAGTATTGCAAAAGTTTTTCATAAACATTTGTTTGCTTTTAATCTAAGGTAATCAATGTTTTTTCTTTCCATCCTCCTGCAACACAGACTTTCAAGTGTTCTGCCAACCTTCAGCCTACAGAAAAAGCATTATTTAAAAAGAGGAAGTGCCTAAAAGATATTCGCCAAAATCACAATGTGCAGGAGGAAACAATGCAGCAACATTGTACCCTCCACAGTGCCTGCTTGTCTGCCTCGCAGAATAGACCCGTTATCTTTCTAAGTATCAGTGATCTGGTGAGTGAGATCACTAACTGTGAGCAACTTTACAACCTCATTAAACATGAAGTAACTAAGCAACAATTGCTTTAAAAGTACATTCCAACGCTTCACATGATATGGAGCTCATTCCTTTGCAATCCCATAAAAAAAACCAACCCTACAGATGAATTTAAACTCTAGACAAAAATGATAATAAAAAAAATTAGAACAGCCTTAGGTACTTAATCTATTTCACTGCCACAAGATTTTGAAGTGGGAAAAAACTTAATTACATTTATTTCATCTTGGCTTTACGCACACCTTGATGAATTTCTT